TAATTTTAGAGTGCCTTCAGGTTGCTTAAGCTAGAAAATTCTCCTGATAAACCCACTATTCTATCTCCCGATGTTTCTGTCGTTCTCCAAACAAGGTTTTTGAAAATAATTAAATATAAAGATAGTTTTATTTTTTAAAATTGTCAATTTATATTGTCCATTATTGTAGATGGGATTCTTTAACTAATGAAGACAAAAAAGAAGCATTCCCCCCAGTTGCCCCAAATTTCATAGTTGAGTTGCGTTCGTCAAGTGATTCTCCCCAATCTCTTCATCAAAAAATGATTCGTTGGGTGAACGCATATGTAGATGTAAGAAAATTAATAACAATTAATAATTGTTTATTAATTATTTTTTTTGGTTAATTACTATTATAATGTTATCTAGGAGGGAATTTCCATAGACTTAATTACAAATCCACCGGAGGTTAGAATCTATACATTTAATTCTGAGACTAATAAAGTCATTTGGAAATCATTGGTAAAACCCGATCAGGTTGAATCAGAAGTTCTCAAAGGGTTTGTTTTAAACATGCAAAAGATATATTGGCAATAAAAAAGTTAAGTTACAAAATTTTGGAGTATTAATAAAATAGGCCTGCAGAGTTATTTTTTATTTCTTATTCTCTTAATAAACAATAATAACTCTTTTTGTATGTTGCGAAACATGCAAATTTTTGTTGGGATTATACATTATTGCGAATTAATCAATTACTATACTCTTATTTATTTTAGATAATTTTGATCAGTTTAATTATTTTGAATGAAGCAGGGAATCACATGGCTCACCTTTGAAGATTAATGATCACCAATTCTTAATTATACTGCATTGTAGAATTGTAGATCGATTGTAGAATTAATTCTACACATGTGGAATTAACTCTCCTGCATCTCTAATCATTACTACATCGGTCAAACGAAAATTCACAAAAAACGTTTATGGTTTTTCAAAAGTTAAATAAAAAAGGCATGCTTAATTATAATAATCATAACTACGTTTAACATGCCTTCAAATAAGCAATTCAGGTGTGCAAGTGGTAACGACTGGTGATTTTACATCAAGGTCTAATAAAATTTAGCAATTTATTAATATATTAAGACATATAAGTGTTCGATTTCCGATTCTCTTTCATACAATTTAAGCGAATGCAAATTACTTTAAAAGTTTCAAGAAATTTTTCAGAAAAGTTTGACATTGAATTATAAATATTAAATATTCAAAATTATAATTGTATACAAGTAAATACCTAAATTACCATAATATTAAAGTTCGAAGATACTATCTATTATTAAAATTGTAACAATTTTTAAATAATGAATTGTAATGCTTAAACTTTATCTACTGTTTTATTTTTGAAGCTTTTTTTTTTAATTCATAGTGTTAGAAATTCAGAGCTATTTTAGAAATGGTGTTAACAATGTTCGTTAAGATGTTTGAGTAATATCAGAATAGTTTTCTGAAAAAAAGTATCTATTAAAAACTTTGATGATAGATTTTATAAGGATACGTATAATTTGATAATCTATCCTTTATGCTCAATGCATTTTTTTTTGCTTTTAATACAGTAATATGAATATTTATGTAATGCTTGAAGAAATGTTGGAAGTCAAAATAGTTGTGATTTTGGATATTTAAATAATTTCTAATTTTGACAATATACTTTAAAATTACAATCCATTGTTAAAAGTTAATTTCTTATCGATAATTTTTTTACCATGAACTTTAAATAACACATAAAAGTAAACTTGAATACTTTAATTAGTAATACTCTGTATTGCCATATAATCAGGGTTGTTGGTACATATATAATTTTTACGGTGCACCAAATAATATTCTGCTAATTATTTTGTGCAAGATGGTGCACCATAAGTGGTTTGTTTGAGTTTACACTGGTAAATTTAAAAAATTTGGCGCGTTGAATAGCATCATTCAGACTTGCATTCAATATGTCGAATGATACGTAAGTCATTCAATATATCAAATACGTAATTGTGTCATAAATGCATACGTATTATAGCCTAATTCAATAATTATGTCATAATTGCATAGCGATAGTGATAACCAAATTTATCAAATCACCTGAATATCGTGTCTCGTAACGACCAATCAAAAACGTTAAAATACACAACTTCTCGCTTAAATTATATAGAATAGATAGATAAAATAATATAAGAGTCAAATTTAAGCATGAAGTCGTAATATAAATTGTACGAATTTCTTGTATGATGTTACAATTTCATTAGTATATTGGTTAGTTGTTTTTTAAAATTTGGTGCTTTCGGGCAAAATTAGTTAGGTCTGGAGGCTCGGGTTACACCAATAAGCAAAGCTTTTTGGACCGGTGCATAGCCATGCAATTCGAGAAATTTTCACTGTCACTCTGTTCCTGTATAATCCGTAAACTTGCGATTAAATTTTGATACTAAACTTTTTTTATTTGTAATGGAACAAACTACTGAATTGACATCTGAGTTTGCTGATACTGCTCTTAAAGCTATTGAAGACGTTTCTGATGAGCTTTATGAGATAAGCATAAAAGTAAATTCCATGCGATAAAGTAAAATTAAGCATATTAAATTTAATACAAACAATTCTAAATGCACAGATAAGCGAGAATCCAGAATTGGCTTACGAAGAAAAATTTGCACATAAATTATTAGTTGATTATTTGCAAGAAAAAAGGTTTAAAGTAACACCGAGTTCTTTTGGGTTAGAAACCGCATTTGTAGCAGAATTTCAATCTAAAGCTGGAAGAGGTCGCGTTGTTTCATTTAATTCCGAGTAAGTAATATTAACTTTTTTAAAATAAGTATTAATCCTTTTTTTATAAAAAGCTATATAATATATATACAAGATATGATGCTTTGGCAGAAATTGGTCATGCTTGCGGACATAATCTTATCGCAATTAGTGGAGTAGGTGCTGCAATTGGTCTCAAGGCAGTTCTTGAGAAATTTAATATTGAAGGAACTGTAAAGTTATTTGGAACCCCTGCAGAAGGTATTAAAAGTTTTATTCTTTCTTTTATAAATCTAAAAAATGCAATATCAGTAACATATTATATCTATTTTTTTTAAGAAAAGGGCAATGGGAAAATCGATTTAATTAAAGCCGGTGCATATGAGGGTGTTGATGTTTCATTAATGGTCCACCCAAGGTGACACTATGTTAGCATTTAATTTCTGCCATATTTTTCAATTTTCAATTGCTAACACAATGATTGATGAATATTAGTTCGGTAAACGGAGCTTTCATACCTTTTCTAGCGGTCCATGAAGCAGATGTTGAATATTTTGGGAAAGCTGCACATGCTTCTGGTGAAAATTTTATTTATTTCTTTTTTAAGTATTATATATATATATGTGTGTTCATCTGGGAAAATTCTAAACAGTGCACCCGTGCACTTTGTGCCTCTATGTCAAAATTGAGCCTGCGATAGAAACTAGGGTTAGGTTACGAGTAGAATTAGAGTTAGGGTTAGAGTAAGTCAAATTGCGAGAGGGATATCTTTGCTTATGTCATACGGCAGGGTTACCTAGTCAAAATTTCGAGTTATTAACAATTTTGCAGTAGGGGGCACAAAGTGCACGGGGCACTGACTAGCCTGACATATATATATATATGTACGTGTATATATATATAACTTTATTAACATTTAATTTGATGCTTAATGGATTATTAGCAACACCTCATAAGGGTATTGTGAAATTCTATTTTTTTTTGTTTTTTTACGCTGTTTGGCGATATGTTGATAATTAATCAATTTTTAAACAAAAATAAAATGACCTAACAGGAATTAATGCATTGGATGCAATAGTATTGGCCTATAATAATATTGGATTGTTAAGACAGCAGATTCTGCCTACAGACAGGTATAAGTCGATTTTCGTATTTATTTTTATGATTTCATATTTAATCTTGATTGTAATATTTGTAGAATTCATGGAATTATTACTAATGGAGGACAAGCACCCAACAGTTTGTACTATATTTCCACCAATATTGAAAACAAATTTAAGATTATAATAAAAAATTCTACATAATATTTTTAGTCATTCCGGAACATACAGCTGGTACTTTCCTTGTTCGTGGAAAGACAATGAAAGATATGGAAGAGCTTCAGCCACGTGTACAAAAGTGCTTTGAAGCTGCAGCAGATGCGACTGGGGCTAAGGCAAAAATTACATGGAAAGATGCAGTTTATGGTAGTTTCACAAGTATAATAAGTATTCATCGATTGAATAATAATAATTAACCTAATGATCGTTTATAGATGTGAATATAAATGACCCTCTTGCCACGCGCTACGAATACTATCTTTCAAAAAAATTTGGTATCACATTTCCGTCTAGAGAAGATCAGAATAACATCTTCAGCGGATCCACTGATCAGGGAAATGTAACTTACTTGGTACCTGGGTTTCATCCAGTTTATGACATTCGTTCACCTATTCCTGTTATTAATCATCAAAGAGAATTTGCCCCAGCATGCAAAACAAAAACTGCCCATCAAGAAACTATAAAAGCTACGAGTGGGATGACTTTAGTTGGACTAGACTTTTTGATTGATGCAGAATTTGCTAAGCAAGTCAAGGAATCTTTTGCCAAATCTAAATTATAACTATTGATGATAAATTTGCTAAATCTAAATCATAACACAAGCTATATAATTTATTTATAAAATTTCATTTGCTTATTTTATTAACTATTGAAAAAATGTTATTAACTAGCACACGATCATGTGTCGGCTTCGCCATAGTTATAATAGATATAAATTTATAGTGCCCATCAAAAGCTTCCCCACACCTGTAATTTAGGATGAATCTAATCATAACAATATGTTAACGTTTATATGCAATTACTGTTAGTGGCAAACTCGCAGCCCGCTATGTCATATGATCCGTGAACCGAGTTTACGATCAGAACATCAACTTCCGAGTAACAGTTAATTCTGTAATTCCCGATAGTGCAAGTCGCAATAAAGTAGTTTGAGTTAGCTGAGGGTTCGACTTGTTCTCTTAGTTGTATTACGTTGTAGGGCGACTGGAATAGAAATTTTTTTCCTCATTGTTTTCTTTAAAGCTCGTAGATACTATACATGTTAGTATCTTTGAAAGTAGAACATATGAAATAGTGAACAGGATTCTCACGCTTTTCACCTTTGTTTAATAGTCATCTGATTGAAAAGTTCTGTGATTTGCAAAAATTGACGTCATTTTACAAAAAAATTTCAAATCAACCTTGGTGCACTAATTAAATTTTCGGAAACGAAATTTTACATATAACGAGCAACAATCTACTGTTATAGCCTCTAATGTTAACGCTCTAACTCTAAACTTCTATCTTTACGCACTTAGTTTATTTACAAAATTCGAATATCTTCTTGATTTGTGTTACTCGCGTAAATAAATAAACAGAAGAACTCGTGCTGTTGAGCACGGGGCAAGGGTTGTTAGAAATTCAATCTTTTTATTCCAGACTCCTAAAATAAAACTTTGATAAGAAGTTGATTCTTGAGTTTTTTGCATATTTTTTTATTACTACCCAAATACTTCGAAAAATAAATGTTCTTTATTCTCATAACTAAATTAATGTGAATAAAACGATCTTAAGTAGTAAATATTTATGAACTTGGATATCTTATTTAAATACTCAAAATATTATGCTTATTCATTATTCATGAGTATAAATTGTAAATATTATGAACTTGAATAGCTAAATTTGCATTATATTTACAATTTAAAACAAATTATAAATAGTATACAATACTGAAATAGCACATTTGAATGTTTGGTTTAATAAATTGTTTTTTATACTCATGTATTAAATCATTGCAAATTAAATAAAACCAATTTACAGACTTGAATAACTTATTTTAAATACAAATAAAATAATATTTAAATATTTATAAATATGATATTAATTAAATATTAAAATAAATATAAATATATAAAATATTTTTTATACTTACAATATATAAATTTATAGTAAATAATTTTTGCTTGAATGTTCTAGCTTAGTTTTTAAAACATTATTTAGCTTAAGCTATAATATTGAAAAACAGAATTGTAATGTGATTTCAAAGTTATGTAGTTTAAAAATAATATATTATAATTTGAATTAGTTTAATTTCTATTTTTAATTTTAAATTACAGTTTTATTGGCTCTGTTCTATTTTGCAACTTAAGTAAGCTAAAGTTTAATTTGTATTATTATATTTCTACTTGCAAACTAAAATAAAATCAATTAAAATTTGAGTTAGTTAAATAAATATAGTTATAAGAATATTATAACTTAGTATACTAGTATAGTTATTATATTTTAAGCAGTATATTCAGAATACAAATTCTATTACAGTAGTAATAAATTTCAAATGTTTTGTTGTGTTATAGTTATTATCTCTTGATGATTAGTTAGATTTAAAATCTATAACTAAGACTTTACTAAATATATAAAAAAATTACTGGGTATTTGTACAATATATAAGTTATACAAAGATATACAATTAGTGCAAATACAAGATAAGTTTTAGAAACTATATAAAACAAAAGAATTGAAGAGACAGATATTTGCTTAGCAAGTCTTGAGTAAAAATATAACACAAACTTTTAATAGTATTACTAAAGTAGGTTATACTTGAAGCTAGTATAACTGAATAAAAACTGAGTATTTGATAAAAGTACACTGTCTATCAGGCTACCAAAGTATTAATTAGAAGAAAAAGATTTACTGTGTAGATAATAGAAAACTAGTATTTTTTCTGAACTATTTGAATTAGTAATTTGAAAAAAGCAGCTAGAGTAGCAAAAGTAAAAAGTACCAAGTAGATTTAAAGAAAATACTGAAGTTTGTATGAATTATATTAGTTGAAATAAAAGACCACAAGATACTAGTTCTCAAACTAGATATAAATTACTAAAAATCTAGATAATATATATATGAGATATAAACTACTTTAATAAATTTTTACAAAAATAAAAAAACCTTCTATATAGAAGTATATATATCTGCTTCAAAGTTTTAAGCCATTTTAATAGCAGTTTTCTTTTATAGAAAAAATGCCAAATCTGGATTCTCATTTATCTGTGTATTTAGAATTTGTTAGCATTAAAGTTTAATATGCCTAATTTTACTTTATCAACATGGAATTTACTTTTACGCTTATCTCATAAAGCTCATCAGAAACACCTTAAATAGCTTTAAGAGCAGTATCAGCAAACTCAGATGTCAATTCAGTAATTTGTTCCATTACAAGTAAAAAAGTTTAGTATCAAAATTTGACCGCAATTTTATGGATTATGCCAGAAACAGAGTGATACTGAAAATTTCCATAATTGTATGGTTGTGCATCGACTTAATGCTGTCCAAAAAAAACTTTGTTTTTGTGTAACTCGAGCTTCCGGACAGTTAATTTTGTCCGAAATCACCAAATTTTAACAAATTTTATTAATAAAACCACTAACCGATAAACGTCATACAAGGTGGGTTTTACCAATCTTTCTTTTAGAGGTATGATGATTAAGACATTCGTATCAGTTTATATTGCGATTTCATGTTGAGCATATGTTTAAATTTTATCAAACTTGCTATGGATAAATATTTTAATACACATTGTTTAATAAGTTTGTTTGTGTTATATATTTTAAAGCAGCTATAAACCAACAGTTAAGAAATTTAAATAGGATTGTATAGAGATTGTGTAAGTCAGAAAATTAATATTAGAAGTTAGATAGATATTTAAAATTAAAGTAGATTTTTATAAGTTAATCTTAATATAAGTTATAGTATAGAAAAGTAATACTATTTATTATTTATTGCAGCTAGTTTACTAATTGGCAAACTATAATGTGTTATTTATATATATTAGAACTAATAAATTTTGTTATATTTAATATAGTTAAATTAAATATACTATTTAACTGAGAAAAAATATTTTTTGTAGGACTTAATTAGGCATCGCAGCCCTGCGATGTGCTTATGTATCGTATTATAATGATTGACCAATAAAATTTCAAGATTGCAGTAACGTAGCACGATCTGGAAATTTCAAAGCAAACGTTCGTTTTGTCAAAAGTTGCTTATAACTCAAAATTTCACATATGAAACTATCTTTTTGCGCTATCACAATAAAAATTCCTTGCGAACTTTTATTATAAGATCTCCAAGTTTTTTTATTTTTAAGTCTAAAATTTATAATTTGTATATACATGTGATGTATACTGTAATGGCGCATAATAACGCGCATCTGCGCGTTATCTTGAAACCCTGTGTATTATTTCAGGACGCGCATGCGTGGTAATTTGAATTATTTTGACAAATTTGGATTACTCTACTTATATTAATGAATATGTATATTTAATGGATGCATTATTTCGGGATACGCATGTGCATTATTTCGAGTCAAACATGCAATTTTAAAGAACAGGTGTGTTTTAAAATACCGTGCATGTGTGTTATTATGCGCCATTATAGTAAGCACATCGCAGGGTGTGACTTATGCATTTATCCTTTTTTGTATATTTGGATGTTCTATATAATAGATGGGCAAACTCCACAAACCCCACAATTCTGCTATTATAAAATTAATAATTACTAATCATTAGCAAGCTTCTTATATTACACACCTATTCTATAGAATATCCCAAATGAGTTTTAAAAGTAATCTAATATGTAGAATACCTTTTATTTAAACTTATTTATTTTTATTTTAAAATACTAAATGATTAAATAATTGTTAACTATAATAGGTTAAAAAGTAACCTGCACAAATCAGATAAGGTTTATTATCTAGTTTTTTGTCTATACAATATATTAAATAAATTGTATAATATAATATTTTAGTAGAGCTTTGTCTATTTTAGATTCTAGTTTTTTAAGGTAATTTTGATTTGTAATTTATCAGATCAGATAATTTGTATAGATCAACTAATTAGGAAAGTTATTTTAAATTTATATTTAATAAGAATTATTCTAACTATTTCTATTTTTTTAATTTTAAGGTTACTACTTTGAATCTGATATATATATTATTTAACTTCAGATTGAATACTAAGGGCAGTGTTATTTATCACCTAATTTTTTTTATCAGAAGCTTATCCCCTCCCTCTTTTATTATATGTTTTGATCAGGTCTTTATATATTATTTTAAATTTTTTACCCCCCTTCCCCTAAAAAATTATTTGATTTTGTCATGTCCCTAATACAATACCTAATTCTGTTATATTATTATAATTATATATTCAACTTTACTAATTGCCTATTTAAGAGTTCTATTATATCTATTTCTATCTATTTCTTAAATTGTAGTAAATATAGACAAATTTGCCTATATTTTTAAACCTTTTGTCTGATTTACTTTTTTAAAAATCAAATAATTAAATAAAATTTTATACAATTATATTTGAAAATAAGAATTACTTTTTTGCAGTATTTATTTTTAGATTATAAAAAAAAATTTAGATTATTTATAAACCAAAAATATACAATTTTAAAAATAATTTTAAAACAAAAATTTTTTAGTTTATTTATAACAAATTTAATAAATATTAATTTTAGACTTATAGTTTCTAATACAACTTTATAAGGATCAAATATAGTATAGGTTACTCCTTTTAAAAAACT